CCCAAATGTGTTTTATTAAGCAATTTCTCTGGTCGCTCAGGGTGCTTGTCAGATGTGGTTCAAAGGGAGTTTATTGTGTTACAGATTTAAGAATACAGGAGAGCACCAAGGACAATTCAATCCAGTACATCAGTGAGTTATTTACACACAATTGAGGTTAGATAACTTCCAGATACCCTGTATTTCACCAAACAACATAAAGTCAGGAAGAAAAGGCTCAGTTAACTGAAGATACTATGTAAAGAATGTTTCCTGTGAGAAAATCTAATCTGATGGCACAACACGGAATCTTTGGAAATATTATCTCCCAGCTTTACAGGGTTTTCCAAATCTGAAGTGCCCTGAACTCATGGAATTGTTCAGAAAAGTAAAATTATCTTCATGGACAGTTTGCATCTTAGTAAATAAGTTAATGCCACCAGCCACCCAATTGGGCTCAGAAGTGATGTTTGTCCTCCAGGATTTAAAGTAGAACATCGGGGAGTTAGGCTTGACCTTGGAACAGAGCTTCTGGTAAATAGATAAACATCCCAGAATCCAGAAATACCATGGCCTAGGTAAGATACTACTGTTTTTTCCCTTCATTTACAATCTGATCACACTGCACCAAAAGCAGACATAGTTGACATACAGTAATTTTTGTCTAGTTCACCTACAAATTAAAGTGGTTGGCTAGTTGATGTCAGTGTCAATCAAAGGTCCAATAGAAATTTCACGTTATTAGAGAAACTACATTGTTCTAAATTCAGAGCCATCTTATTAATGGCTGCTGCCATCATAACCCAGTCCAGGATCAAGAAGGTGCTTTATGACTGACGGCTTTATATGAAAATTACACAGCCAAATCAGTGTTGACTACTGTAATAACAGAGTCCTGGTGTGGCATTGTAGAATAAGCCCTGGACTGCTATCTGCAGTCGGAAGTTCAAACCCACCAGCAGCTTCTTAGAAACCCTACACAGGGTCGCTGTGAGTCGGAACCGACTCTACGGCACTTAGCAACAACAACATCTACTGCATTATTTAAAAATAGAGATTCTCTTTGGAAAATTAATTTTGAAGAGTCTCAGAGTAGTTAAGCAGCCATAAGAAGTCAGAGTACAAGGAAATTTGTGAGCAAGCAAGTCCTCCATGGTGAGCTCTAACAGCCAGGGACGCTTCCCTTCCCAGACACCCTCTCTGCACAACATTGGTCAGGGCAAAGTGGATTTGCTCAGGGTACCACATAGGGAGGAATCTTAGTGCATTCCCTCAAAGGCATCATTCCCCATGTGGTACTTGTCAATTTGGTCATAGTGATATTCTTTAGACCAAATTGGGCAAGGATGCTTGTAGTTTTCTGTCTCCTCTGCAAAGCAGCCCCATCTACAGCACCATTTTCCATTTCAGCACAAGGATTTGAGGAAAGACTTCTGCATGCTAAATTCCCTCTGCTCCTGCTTGGAACCCTCTTTCAGCCTACCCCAAAGCACACACTCGGGGAGAGAAGAAGAGCACCCCCAAAGCACTGCTGCTGGCACCATGTGGATGAGGAAGCATGAGGTATGCATATGCTTTGCTCTTACTGTTGCTTTTCAAAGTCAGTGAGAAAAATCAGTTAATGCAAAGTACATTCTCTAAAATGTGTGCTTCTGATTACTCTGATTTGTAAGCGCTCAGCTTCAAATTCGAGAGAGGACAAGGAAGGGTGTTGGCAAGGCAAAAGCTCCCATGGGAGAAGGACCCTGTAATGACCAGGACAGGCAGTGTTGGAAGCACATGCAAAGACATCAGGCGGACAGAACATTCCAGTGGTAAGTGAGATACACCAGTACTACAAAGAGGAGGGGGACAAGACAGAAGTCTATAAGGTCCCTGGAACGGAGGGCAGAAGTTGGTTGTGGGGGTTTCTCCCCGAGTGCCAGCAGAGTGTCAACAGTCTTTCGAATGTGATGAAAATCCAACTGCAGGATGTCATACGCAGAGCAGAGGTCAGCCTATTCCAAGGGCAGCCGTTAGAACAGAAAGAGACAGTGCATAAAAATTCAACATCGTTGGAAACACACAGAAGAACAGCTGCAAAGAAGCACATATTTTGGTTACTAGCAAATGGCAGGAACAACCCCTAATTTCAACCAGGTAACCCCTGTTTCACCATCAACATTGTTTACTGCAGTGCTTAAGGAAAGCAGACAAGTCATTATATTCTGAAAGTAGGACAAAGACATCCGTCCCTCATAATTGCACTATCGAGGAACCGCATTTTGTGCAACTTATCCGATTTTAATATTCAAGTGATCATCCATGGCATGGAAAAATAGAACTCTTCATTTAAGATACGAAAGACTTAACCTTATTAAAGGAATACATTTTAGAGCTTAAAGTTTAATGCCCCTACCCCATTCCCTGAATGCATCTGTTTCCCTGGCCTTTGAAGATTAAATATGAAGTGTTTGTCTCTGAAAGTTGACAAATACAATTGATTTTAGGGATTGTTGATAAACTCTGAGGAATGTCTATTTTAATGATGTCTCCACATGTTTCAAGAAGGACATTAACTTTCATATCTTTGTGTAACTGTATATAAGTCAAAAGTCTAGAGGCGACTTTTTGGCTGTTAAATTTGAATAAAAGTACATCTCATATAAGATAGGAATGGAAATTTCTCCACTGAGAAGACAGGTATACAGAGTGGAAAAATTAACCATGTTTTATCTTCAGGGAAGTCACTATATGAGGAGACCTAACATAGTGATCTAGTTTATAGGGACATAATAGGAGTGCAGGTGTGTGCCGTGGGCTAATGCGTCAGACTGCAAAGTTGTTTGAACTGCAAGGTCAGTGGCTCAAGCTCACCAGCTGCTCCTCGGTAACCCTATACAGGGTCACAATCGACTCGACGGCACTTAATGGCAATATAAAATTGATGTAATTTATCAGCTAAACACAAAATCAAGTGCTCAGTCTTTTGAGCAGAACTATGGTTGTCTACTGCTGTCAGTAAGCAACCAGTTTTCTGATCACTGAATTCCTGGACTCAAAATGATCACAATGTCAAAGTTAACAATGACTGTAAGTAAAATGGAATGTCAAAAGGAAAGAAAAATAGTTTGTTTTCGGCTGAAAATATTTGCGATGTAATTCATAATGCAACTCTATCTCCAAATTCAGCAAAGCATTGAAAACATATATAATATACATTTTATAAAACGTTGACCTTCAATTCAGCTTCACTGCTAAAAGGATGCAAAGCCATTAAAAGATATTCTCAGATGGAGATTTTGTTTGGTTTGGTATCCTCTGAAGTTAGCACCACATCCTCAGGTTTGTAGGAATACTATATTGTCAGTGGGTTGAAAAAAAAAAAATTCTAATATTAATTTATGAAGGTATAGGTACTCTTAACGAAAGACTTGTTTAACTTTTGGTAAGTCATACCACATCTGTTTTTATCTATTTAGATAACGATAGGGCACTTGCATCTTAAATCTGTGGATTTGGATACTGATCAAGCTTGCACCACCATCAAGAACTTTCCCAAGAATTTAAAATAGTTACACAAAGATTGTTTTTCACTGAGTCGGGGTGAGTGGGAGACAACTGGTCAATGATTTGCAAATCGGGAAACATGTAAGAAAGGAAGTTTTCTTTTGCAATAAGAGTTTTCTGTTGCAACGCTGTGCTTAACTAGTGTAATCTGAGCAAAGCATAAGCAAAAGTAAACATTAAGCATCCACAAACTGGAATGTGATTTTTTCCAAAAGCGGTCTTTTCATCTTAAAAACAAACCATTATCTCTCAGTTTTTCCAAACACTTCCCGGAAGCCAAAGGGAAATGTCTGATTTCTCCCCAGTGACATCAGACATCATGAAAGAACTAGAGACACATGTCTTTGAAGTTTTCAATATACTTATTTTAAAGTATATTCTCATGTGTGAGGGGACTTCAAAACTTCATGGAAACATGGAGTTAGAGAAGACAATGGAATTTTTCTGCGAACATTTTGAAGTTCCTTCATGTATCATTGATAGCAGGGAAACACTTTCAGGATGCCAGATTCTGATCTTAATTTGGATACAGATGGTAGGTTATTTCCAGACTAAGAATAGGAAGAAAGCCCTGAAGAACTACTTCAGAAAATCAGCCAATGAAAACTCCAAGGATTGAAACTGACCACAGCAGTGTGCATGGGTCACCAGGCGGAAGGCTGACTTGTTGTTAAGTGCCATCGAGTCGGTTCCAACTCACAGTGACCCTGCACAGAGTTTTCGAGGCTGTAAATCTTTACGGGAGCAGAATGCCTCATATTTCTCCCGCGGAACAGCTGATAGTTTCGAACTGCTGACCTTGTGAAAATGGTTCGCAGCCCAATTCGTAACCATTACATTATCATAGCTCCTTTCAGCTTCTCTGTTGTTGTTAAGTACCATGGAGTCGGTTCTGACTCATCGTGACCCTGTTCAGGGTTTCCAAGGCTGCAAATCTTTGTGGGAACAGAATGCCTCATCTTTCTCCAGTGGAGCGGCTGGTAGTTTTGAACTGCTGACCTTGAGGTTGGCAGCCCGACTCGTAACCACTACGCTACCAGAGCTCCTTTGGGAGGCTGACTTGGTAGCAGTTAACAACAGAGTAGTGGTCTAGGATGACCTGGCATGTAGAAATCTGAAGCAGACTTGAGTGTGAGCTGCTGTGGCCACCTGCTCTCTCAGTGGGGGCAGTCAGTCCCCACCACTCACCCAGTGGTTGTACAAACACACCCCTGCAGTGCACTGTGAGGACACTGAGAAGGGAAACGGGACCTCCTGACCTTTATATTTTTCAGTTTTAATGACAGAGACGTAAAATTACAACAGACTGGAAAGTACTGAAAATGGAAGGAAATTTAAAGAGCCAACGTTTCAACACACACTCACATTTGCAGAACATCAATTAATTAGCAACAGATAACTAAAAACACAGATAATTCCCTCAGAATCCTCACAGGCAAGTGCATATGCTAATGAACAAACCCCACAATCTCCATAGGTTAAAGGACTCTTCAGAGTCAACACAAGCATGTGTAGCTGCAAGTACAGTTGAACCTTGAGCAACACGGGTTTGAACTGGGCAGACTTTTTCCTGCTGCTACTGGGGTGAGCTCAAGTGTTGCCAGTCTGGCTTAAAAGGCTCCGTGAAAGCTAATTGCTTGGGTTGGGATGATTACTGTTACTTGGCATTTGAATGCACAAAAACTTGAGATCATAGCATTGTTGTTGTTGTTAAGTGCCATTGAGTTGGATCCCATTCCCACTCACAGAAACCCTGTATATAGAATTTCTGAGGAGTGGCTGGTGAGTTTGAACCACCGGCCTTGTGGTTCAAAGAGACCTTGTGGTCTAGTGCTTATCTTACAGTGTCACTCCAGTTCAAACCTGTGCTGTTCATGGGTTAACTGCTATTAAAACGTTGCTGAGCTACACCAAGTATCATAGACAGAACATGGCAACCAAACAGAAACTTATTCCTAAGAAAAACTGGTTACATTTTAATGCTTGCTAGCTATGAGTAGGAACCTACTCAATGGCACATAACAACAACAAACTTTATGTACAATACGTTTAAGAGCTGACCATATCTAGCCTTAGCCTTAAGTGTATGTAGACATTTAGAATATTATTTATTTAAATATAATTTTAATTATTTTAAAACACTATTTTTACCAAGTGCTTTTTTGGTAATCTCAAATATAGAAAAGGCATGTTCATGGTCACATGGTCAACTTGGAAAACGTAAAGCCCTTATTTCATGATCAAAGAGGCCTAGAGTTGCAACAGGTACATGCTCAGTTTGTAACCACAAAGTTGGTACCTCTAAGGCAGCCAACAGTTCCACGAGAGAAAGGCCTGGCAATCCGCTTCCGTAAATATTACAGCTAAGAAAACCCCACTGGGCAGTTTTACTTTGTCACATGGGGTCTCTTGAGTTGAAATCAACTCCAGGGCACCTAACAACAACAATTTAGTGACGAGATATAATTTTGCTGAGTGGAGAGGTAGGGTAGGGGTTGAGCGGGGGTGGGCATACATCCAGAGTTCCCTCCAAATACAAGGGGTTTCTGAAAATTTGTGGGGAAATTCCATAATCTTTCAATTCCAATTTTCCATGGACTTTTTGAAGCCCTCTCATATGTATAGTGGAGTTCTGGGGTTTGTGTTGTGAGTTAATGTGCTTGACTGCAAGGTGGGCGGTTCAAACTCACCAGCCGCTTCTCAGAAACCCTAATCAAGGTCGCTATGGGTTGGAACCGACTTGATGACACTTAACAATAGCAACAATATACATATATTATGAATCACAAAATTGATGTTAGTAAAACAATAAATGTGCCAATCTGTACCTATGGTTATTCAACTTCACAATTAGCCATTATAAACAAAAAAGTAAAATACGTTTTATAATAAGAACCCCCCCATCTCCCCAAATGATCATTAATATATTTTAAAGTGATATTGAAAGATTCATAGCCTATACAGGGTTGATATGAGTCAGTACCCGACTTCACAGCACTAACAACAAACAACACCACCAAGTGATACTAAAGCCACTGATTTAGGGAGGAAAAACAGTATAAGGTTCAAGGAGGGTAAATAACATCCCATTTTCAAGATAAAAAACAGTTTCAGTTTAAAGACTGCCTTTCAATGAAAAAAATCAAGTCATATACATATGTATACTTTCATATGCCCTCACAATTAGTATGAAGTTAAAAGTTATAACTGTTATTTTCAAATCTAAGAATTCCATTACAAGCCACAAGAAGATGCAAACATGGAAGGTACTGAAAAGAAGAGAAACTCAAGCATGAGTCTATTTACACCACACATTCATTCATTGTTGGAATTGGAATGAATTTAACTAGTTGTTGTTCAATCAACTTTGACTTCTGGTAACCCCACAGGTGTCAGAATTATTACGTGCCGTCTAGTCAGTTCTGACACATAGGGTTTCCAAGAAGGGGCTGGTGAGTTTCAACCACCAACCTTGTGGTTCAAACCAACCTTACAGTCCAGTGCTGTATCCCCCAGAGTCATAAGGAAGATAGGGTTTTCATGTCTGTTTTTTGTTCTGTTTTGTACTTTTGTACAGAGATAACCAGATCTTCTTCCAAGGTGTTTCTGGGTGAACTTGGCCCCCCAATCTTTTGGTTAGTAATTGAGTGCATTACCAGTTTGTGCCACCCAGAGACCCCTTGGATGTACTTACGTCAGGATCTTATTTTTAATTCCATTTGGTAAACGTAGAATAGAATCTGAGTAACATCAACTGCATTACAACCTTTCCCACCTGAATGTCCTCAAAGGACCCCTGGTCCCCCTGGTGCATGGTGCAGGCACAAGGAGGAAGGGGCCCCAGACCACCCACCAGGTTCTCTACCACTGTAAAGTCTCAGATTTTAATCCTCTTCTCTATTTTCTCTCTGGAGGCAGTAATGAAGATGCGTGGCTGGGCAGCTAGAAAACAAAGTGCATTTCTTTTCTAAGTTCCCTTCCAATCTAAAGTTAGACTAAACCATTGTAGCAAAGAAGTTTGTTGCTTATGGAGTTTGAGGCCACGCTCACTTATTTAAAATCCAGCACAAAAATGTCCCTAGTGAACCAAATAAACATCTGCTTTCTGATGCTTTTTTTGCTTCAACAGTCAGGAAGCACTCTTGATCTACCAAGAACTGCAAAATACTCCTAAACTGGACCTGTAGCCAACCATAAATATTTCAAGTGGAGACCAGAGGCCAGTTATGGGCCAGGTTAACTATGAAAAGTCTCAGTATATATCCACAAATAGCTTCACAACCCCACAGCTTAGTTGGGGTGAAATGTGTAGGTGAGACCAAGAGTGTATGTGGAAGCATCTGGAAGTTCAACAAGAGTGGGCTTATCTCCAAGACCAAACTGAGTCTTGGTAGTAGAGTCAAAGACAGCTGCATATGCTTACTCTCCTGCATCCAACACCACGAAGGACTATGAACGGGAGGGGGTCAAGCACCATCACCCACACCCCAGGGTTTTCAGGACAACTTGAGAGATGAACCTGTGGTAATCTGCCTACAGCTAAGCAGCTGTTAAGGCAAGAAAGCAATTGTGGACTTGTAAGACTTCCTCAGAGGTATGTCATTGTCAAATTAGGCTTAGCTACGAAAGAAAAACAACAGTTGCCTATTGAGTGGATTCTGACTCATGACAAGTTCACGTGTGTCAGTAGAACTGTACCCCTCCACAGGGTGGCTTCAAGGCCTGAGTTTTCATACACAGAGGGCCAGGCTTTCCTTTCCGTTAGCAGCCGAACGTCATAACTGAATGCAATATCCAGGGACTCCCTGAATAGCAGTGGGCTATTTTTCCTCCAATGGAAATCTAATATATACCACAGGCAAACGAGTCACTGCTTTATCTGAAGCAAGGGGGACGGAGTGACCGGGAGCTTCCTCACCTGGCCTTCCCTCACTCCCTGTGCAGGCTACTGAAAGAGCCAAGACTGCAGAAGGCGGGTCACGTTCATGGCTCAAGTCCAACTCCTGCAATCTGTAGAAAAGGGACCTAACCTAGTCACAGGGAGGCTGGGCTCTTGATTCTGTTGCTCCTAGGTTCAAAGTACCAGCTCTGAGTGCAAACTCAAGAAATTATTTCACTTCTCTGGACCTCATTTTCCTCATAGGATAGAATCAAATAGTTACCTCCAATCCTCAACAGTGAGCATCAGAGATGACTTATGATCAGAAGTCCTCAGTAAATGGTCACAACTCTGTGGTCTCAGGGGTTTACGTCAGGGAACAGAACGATTTAAAAGCATAACTAGTACCCGTACTAGGGAGTGGAAAACGGATAAGCACTCCATTATTTGCTGAGAGGCTGGCGATTCAATCCTACCTAGAAGCATATTGGGAAGAGAGCCTAGTGACCTGCTTCGTGGAGGACACAGCCTTGAAAACGGTAGGGAGCAGTTTACTCCACTCATGGGTCACCGTGAGTCAGAACAACAACCTGTCCCAGTTGTCATTAAGTTAGGACAATCCCACGTATGTCAAAATAGAACAGTGAGCCACAGAGTTTTACATGGTTGAGTTTTCAGAAGTAGATCACCAGATCTTTCTTCTAAGACACTTCTGGGTGGACTTGAACCACCAATCTTTCAGTTAGTGCATGAACCATCTGCATCGCCCAGGGATTCTGGCTAATAACACAGGTGGGGTTAATTCACCCCTAACATTGGCCTCCCAGCATCCTGCCCATTCCCTCACTTTTTATATATTTATAACATATTTATATACTTGTAACATATTTATATATGTTAAGTATAATATATATAATTAACAATATTGACTCAGAGTAAATGGCTAAGGGCATTTCCATTTCATTCTGTATCACTGTAAGCCAACAAACAAACAAACCACATAAAAACCTTGATGAATTACAAATCACAGGGAAACAGGTTGTGTGCTTTCTGGCCCAGACACAAACGATTTATCACCTTGAACTTATGATAACGGTTTGATTCACATATAGAAAGTTTTCAAGAGAATCAAATTAATAAAAGCGTATGTGTATAAGTACCAAGGAGTTTCAAAATGTTCCTGGAAATGTTCCATCATCTTCTAATTCCATTTTTCCACCAACTTTTAAACCCCCCCTGGTATTTTAACATATATTTGAGGCCAGGAATGTACATGTAATACTGAAATATACATATACATTACAGATACACAGATGTTAACATTGCTGAAAGCAACATTGCTCACATTTAGTCCAATATGTAAAAATGAATTTGCATACTTTTCACTGATAGAGCTTTGATTTAAAGATGCTTGAATAATGATCTCCTTTTCCTTAAAATTAGAAGCTCATTCACTAACTCTCCCTCCTCAAATCCCACCAACCTTAAAGTGGGAAATAAAAAAAGACAAGAAAGGAAGGAAGGAGAAATGGAGGGAAAAAAACCCTCTCAATTTTAATAAATAACTTCTATAAGGAATAATCCTTTTATCCCTGGGACATTTTAAAAGGCATATACCAAAAACCAACAACAGAAGGATTAGAACTGGATCATTTCTATTTATCACACTAGTAATAAACCTACATTGTTACTCCAAATTCTGAGATATTAGTTCCTTTCTCACTAAGAAATCATTTTATGTTATTTATAGCAAAGTCTTGGAAAAGTCCCAAACCAGCCATCTAGTTAAGGCTGAAACTGGGGAAAAGAAGCAAACCTTAGAGTTGGGCTGGATATAAAGAATTACAAGCTGGGCAACTCCAATTGGTTCAAGGAGAAAACGTTAAGTGCAAATAGTTAAACTATAAAGCAACATACAAACATTAATTTTAGTGGTGGTAATGATGATGATAATAAAACAATAATTATATTTTGATCGTTGCTATAGTTTGATCCACATATCCCAAATGCAACTATGAAGAATGAATAGCAATCGATCAGTAGTCAATAGCAGATAATTACACTCACCGGCCCCAAATTCTACCCAGTGGAAACTCAATCAAAGGCTCACTGTAGCCTCCGGTCATTTCTGCTCATGAGTAGAGAGTCAAGCTGATCAAAATTTTCTTTTTCTTCTTCAAGTTTGGAATTTCAAACTTATTCCAAAACTTTGAAGACATTATCTTGTTAGTTTCCTTAGATTTGAATTTATGGCTTAAAGTCACTTTAATTTCACTGCAATAGAACTTAAACTAAAATATAACATTGGCTATTATTCCTCAAGAAAGGTTGAGGCTGAAAGGCATATACCACAAGCTGTACATTTATCAAGAATTTCAAAACACACACGAAACACAATTTTTATGAAAATGCTGATATTTGGACTCAGTTTGGTGTTACCTCAGGGACTCCGAGCTTCCGGCATGCTTCCAAAAAGTTTTCCACATTTCTTCTGCATTTGGCCATGCTAAGTTTGGGCTATAAAATACAAATAGGCAAACACCATGTGTTATTAAAATAGAACGATCTTAATACCACGTAAAAACATTTCTCCATTCAACAATTTATACGCATCGTTTTGTGACATGGTTGCTGTCCCTGAATGTAACAGCACGCTATCCACTTCCTCCCTGGGTCCCCATTCATGCTCCTTTCTGTCCCTTCCTGCCTTCTGAGTTTTATTTTAGGGCTCATATGGCTGATTGTACTGAAGAGTGCACTCTTCGCTGGTGGTTGTTTGGGTGAAAATTGATTCCTGGGAAGGGGGTCCAGGTGGGCTGGCAGGGTGTATAAGGGGCATAGTCTCAAGGGTCCCACTAGTCTGTGTATCAGACCAGTAAGTCTGGTCTTTCCTGTATTTTGTTCTTTTTTTTTTTCCTTCCCTCTATGCTCAGGACTTTCTATTTTGACCCCCTGATCAGAGTGGTTGGGAGTGGTAACTGGACACCGTCTAGTTCTTCTGGTCTTTACGTTGGGGAGTCTGTGGTCTGAGCGGTCCATTAGTACTTTGGACTTAATTGTTGTCTGGAGTCTTTCATTTCCTTCACTTTCCTTTATTCTGAATGAGGACAGACCAACAGTTGTATCTGGGATGACCACTCATCAGTTGTTAAGATCCCAGATGCTACCTTAGCTAAGTAGGATATAGAACACTGTCTTTATGTTATGCAAGAAACATCTTCATGTTTTGCTATTTTTGTTTTAGAAAGTTTTCTATGATTTTGCACTTTCTGACTTACCCTGATACATTCAGTGGTAACTATTAATAGGTACGCATTTACTGATGCCAATTTATTTTGTTTTGTATGGTGTTGATTTCTTTGTTTCATTGTTTTGCAATTCTGAGTTCATTTGTTTATGATTTTTTTCATTTCTTAGATTGCTATTTATTTTGTGTTTATTGACTTCTTGTGATTTCATTAGAAGGTTTTAAAAACTTTTCTTTGTGGTTACCCTGTAATTAATTATTTTCTTCCTAGATTTAAAACAGCCTAGTCTGGTAGTGTAGGGGCTACAAATCAGGCTGCAACCCACAAGGTCAGCAGTTCGAAACTACCAGCTGTTCTGTGGGAGAAAGATGAGGCTTTCTGCTCCCGTAAAGATTTACAGCCTCGGAAACCCTGTACAGGGTCGCTGTGAGTCGGAACCGACTCCACGGCACATAACAACAATAAGAAGTCTATTTTTATATTGTCTTGACTTCCTCTCCATTTGGAAGTTCTGTAACTACACTATTTAATCCCTCTTATTACGGGAGAAAGATGAGGCTTTCTGCTCCCGTAAAGATTTACAGCCTCGGAAACCCTGTACAGGGTCGCTGTGAGTCGGAACCGACTCCACGGCACATAACAACAACAAGAAGTCTATTTTTATATTGTCTTGACTTCCTCTCCATTTGGAAATTCTGTAACTCCACCACTGATTCTTTTTGCTTTGTTGTCATCATTTACAGAGTGACGTCTTGGGTTTTCTATTTTCAGTTTGTTAGGTTTATTTTTGAAAATTGTTTATCTGGGTTGGCTTCCAGGTGATGTCATGTGGATTCACCTCAGAATGTTATCTGACTTTGTTGGCTCTCCTGTCAAAAGGATTCATTTTAGCATTTCTTAGAAGGTTGACAGATTTAAAAAAATATATATATATATTTTTACAAATTCCCTTCATTTATGTTTGTCTGCAAATAATCTAATTTCACTGTTATGTTTGAGGGATAATTTTACTGGATTAAGAATTCCTGGCTGGCAATTTTTTTTCTTTTGGTGTTTTATATATGTCATCTCATTGTTTTCTTGCCTGCATGTTGTTGTTAAGTGCCACTGAGTCATTTCCAACTCATAGTGAACCTGTATAGGGTTCCTGAGGAGTGGCTGGTGGGTTTGACACGCCGACATTGTGGTTCAAAGTGACCTTGTGGTCCAGTGCTTATCCTACAGTGCCACATAGTTAGCTGCCAAAAAAGTCTGAGGTTAGTCTAAACGGTTCTCTGTTGTGAGTACTATTTCATATTTTCCTTGCTGCTCTCAGAATTCTTTGATTTTGAAAAGTTTGATTATACTATGTCTTCGTGATTTTCTTATGGGGACTATGCTATTTGTAGTCCGTTTAATTCTTGAATTTTCTTGCCTTTCATATTAGGGAACATTTCTGCCAACATATCTCCAATAATTTTCTCTATGCTTGGTTTTTCTTTTTTGGTCTTTTCCTGTATAGGAATTCTGATCACATATAAATTGTTCCTTTTGATGGGGTTCCACATCATTCTTAGGGTTTCTTCAGCTTTCCATTTGTATTTTTCTGACTGTTCCTCTAACAGATTACTATTAGGGGGTTTGTCTTAAATTTCATTGATTCTGCTTTCCATGAACTCAAGTCTACTTCTTTCTGTTCCATTGTGTTCTTTCTGAAATTTTACTGTTCATCTTCTGGGTCTCTAGTTGCCGTTTTTGTATGGCTCTACATTTATTATGTCAACTTGTTCTCATATTGCTTCCTTGAATTCTTTTTGGGTTTTGTCAGTATTTTCCTTGATGCCTTTCTTAATCTATTGGAGGACCTTAAATATAATTTCTTTGAATTCTTATCAGGTAGTTCCACTACCATTTCTTCTTCAAGGTTTACTGGCCTGGTCACGCTGTTGTTTGAACTCATTGTTACAACCACTGTGTTAATTCATCTTGTTGAGGGTATTCCTCTCTTTTGAAATATCCTCTACTTTACCAAGAATGATGTCCTTTTCATGGGCTGGTCTCTCTTGATAACATGTGCAAAGTTTATGAGATGAAGTCTCGCCACTCTTATTACTCAGAAGCATTCTGGTTGTACTTCTTCCAAGATTTATTTGTTCTTCTGGCAGTCTATGGTACTTTTAATATTCTTTGCCAACACCATCATTCAAATGCATGAATTCTTTTTCAGTTCTTATTTACTGTTCAGCTTTTGCAAGCATATGAGGCAATTGAAAATACCATGGCTTGGGTTAGGTGCACCTTAGTTCTCAAAGTGAGTGTTACCTTGTCTAACATTTTAAAGAGGATTTTGCAGCAGATTTTCCCACAGCAATGTTTCTTTTAATTTCTTTACTGCTCTTTTCATAGGCATTGGTTTTGGATCCAGATGAAATGAATTCCTTGACAACTTCAATATTTTCTCCATTTATTATGGTGTTGCTATTGATCCAGTTGTGAGGAGTTCTGTGTTCTTTATGTTGACATGTAATCAATACTGAAGACTATAGTCTTGGTCTTCATCAGTAAGTGCTTTAAGTCCTCTTCATTTTCAGCAAGCAAGGTTATGCTACCTGCAAATCATAGGTTGTTAATATAACTTCTTCCAATCCTGACGCTGCAGTCTTCTTCATATAATCTAGTTTCTCAGATTATTTGCTCAGAATGTAGATTGAATATAACTATGATGGAAGGATACAGCCCTGATGCACACCTTTCCTGGTTTTAAATCACACAGTGTCCCCTTGTTCTGTTCAAATGACTGCCTCATGGTTTATGTACAGATTCCTCATGAGTGCAATTAAGTGTTCT